GAAAGAAAGAAAGGAAGAAAGAAAGAAAGAGAGAAAGAAAGAAAGAGAGAAAGAAAGAAAGAAAGAAAGAAACAAAGAGAGAAAGAAAGAAAGAGAAAGAGAAAGAAAGAGAGAGAGAGAGCGTGATGAAAGGTGTCTGTAAACAAGGAGATTATGGAAAGCAGGTCAGAACAGAACAAAAGCTGAATAAATTGGTGAGCTATACCAAAAGCAACCCATATAATACGATAATGGACCCAGCAGTATGTGAGAATGGGTGACTGTGCTATTAAGCCATCCATGTCATTACAGGACAGTTGTGGGATAAATAAAAGACGTGGAAGGATGGGAGTACAGCTGTATTTCATTCAGTCTACAGTATTCACTGTTCACAGTGTGGTCTCCTGTACAGTGGGGAGACAAAACGCAGACTGGTTGACTGCTTTGCAGAACACCTACATTTTGTCCACCAAAATGAATCTGACCGTCCAGTTAAAAATCGAAAGAACTGTGGATGCTGTAAATCAGAAACAAAAACAGAAGTTGCTGGAAAAGCTCCGGTCTGGCAGCATCTGTGAACAGAAATCAGAGTTAATGTTTCAGTTCCGGTGACCCTTCCTCAGACCATCACCTTTCAGTTGCCTGCTGCTTCGCCACACCACCATGTTTCCTGTCTAACACCTCTGTCCCATGCCTGCTACACTACTCTAGCGAGCCTTAGCACCAATTCAAAGAATAACATCTCATTTCCTGTTTGGGGACCCTATAGCCTCGAGGAACATGGAGTTCAATAATTTTAGAGACTGATTCCTTCCTCTCCAATTTCTTTTTTTAACCCACCCCACACTCAGTTGTTATGACATGGGTTGCTTTTAGCACAGTCACCAACTCTCACATACTGCTAAGACCATGATCACATTATACGGGTTGCATTCAGTACAGCTCACCCGTTTTGTCCTACTCTTAGCTCTTCATTATCACTTATTCAGCTTTTCTTCTGTCCTGGCCTCCATAATTTCCTTGATAGTAGGAACTGCAGATGCTGCAGAATCTGAGATAACAAGGTGTAGAGCTGGATGAACACAGCAGGCCAAGCAGCATCAGAGGAGCAGGAAGGCTGACATTTCGGGCCTTGACCCTTCTTCAGAAATGGGGGAGGGGAAGGGGGATCTGAAATAAATAGGGAGGGGGGGAGGCGGGTAGAAGATCGATAGAGGAGAAGATAGGTGGAGAGGAAACAGACTGGTCAGAGAGGCGGGGATGGAGCCAGTAAAGGTGAGTGTAGGTGGGGAGGTAGGGAGGAGATAGGTCAGTCCAGGGAAGACGGACAGGTCAAGGGGGTGGGATGAGGTTAGTAGGTAGGAGATGGGGGTGGGGCTTGACGTGGGAGGAGGGGATAGGTGGGAGGAAGGACAGGTTAGGGAGGCGGGGACGAGCTAGGCTGGTTTTGGGATGCGGTAGGGGGAGGGGAGATTTTGAAGCTTGTGAAGTCCACATTGATACCATTGGGCTACAGGGTTCCCAAGCGGAATATGAGTTGCTGTTCCTGCAACCTTCGGGTAGCATCGTTGTGGCACTGCAGGAGGCCCAGGATGGACATGTCGTCTGCGGAACGGGAGGGGTGTTGAAATGCTTCGCGACTGGGAGGTGCAGTTGTTTAGTGCAAACCGAGCGTAGGTGTTCTGCAAAGCGGTCCCCAAGCCTCCGCTTGGTTTCCCTGATGTAGAGGAGGCCACAACGGGAACAGCGGATGCAGTATACCACATTAGCAGAATCAGATCAGAACCACATCTCAGATGTCCTCGTTTTTCAAGGACCGCAACTTCCCCTCCACAGTGGTCGAAAAAGCCCTCGACTGCGTCTCTCGCATTTCCTGCAACTCATCCCTCACCGCAATAACAACCAAAACAGAATCCCCCTCGTCCTCACGTACCACCCCACCAACCTCCGGATCCAACGCATCATCCTCCAACACTTCCGCCATCTGCATTCCGACCCCACCACCAAAGACATTTTTCCCTCCCCACCCTTATCTGCTTTCCAGAGGGTCCACTCTCTCCGTGACTCCCTTGTCCGCTCCACACTCCCCTCCAGCCCCACCTCACCCGGCACTTTTCCCTGCAACCACAGGAAGTGCTACACCTGCCCCTACATCTTCCCCCTCACCCCCATCCCAGGCCCCAAGAATACTTTCCACATCAAGCAGGTGTTCACCTGCACATCTGCTAATGTGGTATACTGCATCCGCTGTTCCCTTTGTGGCCTCCTCTACATCGGGGAAACCAAGCAGAGGCTTGGGGACTACTTTGCAGAACACCTATGCTCGTTTCGCACTAAACAACTGCACCTCCCAGTCACAAACCATTTCAACTCCCCCTCCCAATCCTCAGATGACATGTCCATCCTGGGCCTCCTGCAGTGCCACAACGATGCCACCCGAAGGTTGCAGGAACAGCAACTCATATTCCGCTTGGGAACCCTGCAGCCCAATGGTATCAATGTGGACTTCACAAGCTTCAAAATCTCCCCTCCCCCTACCACATCCCAAAACCAGCCGAGCTCGTCCCCGCCTCCCTAACCTGTCCTTCCTCCCACCTATCCCCTCCTCCCACGTCAAGCCCCACCCCCATCTCCTACCTACTAACCTCATCCTGACCCCTTGACCTGCCCGTCCTCCCTGGACTGACCTATCCCCTCCCTACCTCCCCACCTACACTCACCTTTATTGGCTCCATCCCCGCCTCTTTGACCTGTCTGTTTCCTCTCCACCTATCTTCTCCTCTATCGATCTTCTATCTGCCTCCCCCTCTCTCCCTATTTATTTTAGATCCCCCTTCCCCTTCCCCTCCCCCATTTCTGAAGGAGGATCTAGGCCCGAAATGTCAGCCTTCCTGCTCCTCGGATGCTGCTGGGCCTGCTGTGTTCATCCAGCTCTACACCTTGTTATCCATAATTTCCTTGTTTACCTACCCCTTTCATCTCTCTCTCTCTCAACACTTCATCTCCACCTATCCACTCACTCCTCCAGCACCAGTCACCCCACCCTCCCCCAGGTTTGACTTTGGCATATATACTACTTTTTCCTGGTTGCCAGCAGTTCTGATGAATAATCACTGCATTTGAAACATTAACTATGCTTTGTTCCCACAGATGCTGCCAGACCTGCTCAGTTTCTCCAGCAATTTCTGTTTTTGTTTCAGATCTCTAGAATCTGCAGTTCTTTGTTTTGTTTTATAAAAGAAAGGAAATTATGTAAATCACGTATACAACACTGGTTTAGCCTCAACTTGAGTATCACCTTGAGATCTGATTCCACACTTCAGGAAGGATGTGAACAAAACAGAAAGGCTGCAGAACAGGTTCACAAGACTGGTTTTGGGGATGTGAAACTTAGTTATAGAAATACACTGGGGAAGTTGGACTGTTTTCTTTGGAAAAGAGAAGGTTGAAAAGAGATTTGATTGAGATGTTCAAAACCATGAGGGGTCTGGACAGAGTATTTGGGGGCAACTATTCTCATTGGCAGAGGTGTTAAGAATTGGATGACAAAAATTTAAGGCCTCTAGAAAAAGAAGCGATGTTGACATAAGAAAGAAAACATTTTTAAACAGCAAGTTGTTCCAGATCTGGAATACACCATCTCAGGGTATGTTCTGAAGACTGATTTAATTGTAGCATTTAAAAGAGAATTAGATAATGATTATAAACGGAAAATATTTCAGGACTATCCAGGAAAGACAAAGGATTGTCATTTTTTGAACTGCTGTTGCAGAAAGCTGGAATAGACAATACAGGTTGTCCTCCTTTCCAAACTGCATTTTTAGGATGGGAATTCCCTTCTCATGGCTTCCAATGCTGGAACAATCAAAATTGTTCACACTCAGAAGGCCAGTGTTAAGAAAAGCACAAACATCTTGGAATTGTGGAGTTTGAGGGAATTAGAAAGAAAGGAGAGCAAGGCCATGCAAGGATCTGAAAACAAAGATGGAACTTCAAAATATTAAAGTTTAGATGGGCATTGCTTAATTGACCCAAATCGGATTCAGGAGCATGGATGTTGCATGCCTCGCCAACAAGCAAGGTTCACACATAATAGTGGCCAATATAGTTGGATTTTTGAATGGCTGACGGAACCAGCAGAATAATGTACGAAAATGAAAAAAAAAAATTTGTTTCCAAATACAATTCCCATCTTGTAAAACATTCTTCCAATACCCTCCAAATGGCATGGGTTACAGTCTTTTTTACTGTACATTGACTGCAGTTTAAATAAAACTGCTGGCTGGAATGGACTTTGAAATAACTGGACAATAATTCTATACACAAAACATTCTTGTTACACAGTAGAATACTGCAATATCACTTCGACATCATAATAGCCATCACCTAAATCAGACACATTGTATTTCCACAAACATGCCCATGCTAAGCTATGGAGAATAAATTTACAGTATAAAGGCCACAAAAGTTAACTGTTTTTGAGAAACAAGTTCCATCAGTAGAATTGCAAGTTTCATATTAGAGTAACTTAGGTGATAAAACAAGGAAGAATATATTGAAATATGGTAAGATCTTCCAGACTGAAAAATTATTCTGCAGTTTGATGTATTGTAAAGCTTCGCAAATGTGCTATTTTATACGCAAGATAAAGGAAAACACCAGTGCAAGATGATCAATAGATCTTTAGGACCTCCAACTGGCATTTTCTTCAAGTCAATACGATGATTTTATGACACCACATAAAATATAGAGCAATCCGTAAGAGAGCAAAAAGAAATTGTAACCTGAATTCACCTTCTTAAAAAGATCGATTATCAGCAAAGATTCCACACTAGACTAACAGGCAATAAATGTTGATAATTTTTGAGAAACTGTCCAGCTAATAATATTTAACAGTCGTCAAACTCTTATTAAAAATCTGAGCTGACAACTGTTCCGTAGCCAATATAAAACTAAAAATAAACTTCCAACATTAGTGAGTTAATATTTAATAGCTATCACATTTCATCTATGAGCTGTACCTGTGTGGCCAATCGTTTCATGGCTTCTTCCTGGCGTCGGCGGAGTTCAGGTGTGCTTGGGCAGCTCCCACTGGCAATAGAGGGATGGGCCTGAGGTGGCTGTGTAAGTGGTAGATCCCTGCTACCTTCTATATCTATAGGAGTGAAATGAATACCACAATGTTGGGAGAATTAGTATAGGCAAGCTCGTCATTGCATAATCAAGGAAAAGCAACCACATTACTTTTATCATGTCATTTGAGTAAGGATCATGGACCAAGTACAAAGTCAATCATTTGAGAGATGTGGAACATTTTGCATTAATAAACAGAAGTTATAAAATACACAGACGCACTATAAACACAAAGATTCATCTGCAGAGAGAACAGGATAGAGTTATAGATTGATGATGCATCGCCTACAATGAACAAGGTTACAGATGACTCTAGTTATATTCTTGCAGTCAGATGATTCAGTCAGATAATAGCTTGTGAGATACAATGAAAATAAACTAACTGAGAGCACGTTGGCAAATATTATTATTCACCTGCCCCACTTCAGTGAATTTCTACAAAGCAGGCAACAAAGGAGGAACTCCAGTCAGTGACTTTAGTCAGGGAAACTGAGCAATTGAAGAGTTGACAGATATGCTGACATTTCACCACCACATCCAAAAAGAAAAACAAGTTACACTGCACTTCCATGATACTGGTACAACAGAACTCAGGATCTATTTTACATTATTTCACATTGGAAGGAAGTAAAGCAGAGTTCAAGATATATACCGTCCACAGGAATAGGCTCATTACACAAAACAACAGCATCTAAACATTAAATGTGAGAAATCAAAGATGAAACTCTCTAAATAATTTGGTCAGTGTTACAAGGTAGTAGTACTAACATAACTTGGGAATGTTTGACCTGCTCTTGCAGCTAAGCTTGTATGGTTTTCTTTGTAGTTTATACGGCTAGTCCAGTTAAGTTTCTGGTCAATTGCAATCCTCAGGATGTTGATAGTGGGAGATTCAGTGACAGTAACCTCATTAAATGCCAAGGGATGATGGTTAGATTCTGTCTTGTTGGAGATGGTACTTGGGTGACACAAATGTTATTTGTCATTTATCAATCCAAGCCAGAACAATATTCTTGTCTTTCAATAGAAGAACTCTAGCTGCTTCAATGTTGATAAGTCACTAATTGTGCAGTCATCTACTAATATAGTTAAGTTTAACGATATGATGAAGGAAAGTCATGGATGAAGCAGCTGAAGATGGGGGTTGAACCTGGGACACTACCCTGAGGAACTCATGGGCTGAGATGATTGATCTTCAAAAACAGCCATCATCCTTTATTCTAGGTGTGACTCCAACTGGCAGAGAGCTCCCACCTGGATTCTCATTGACTCAAGTTTTGCTAGGACTCTTTGATATGAAACAAGATCAAATGCTGCCTCGATGTCAAGGAGAGTCGCTGTCACCTCATGTCTGGAATGTCGCTTTTTTGTATATGTTTGGACCAAGGTTACAATGACATCAGATACCAAGTGGCCTTGATAAAACCCAAACTAGCAGGTGATTTCCTTTGAAATTAAGCTTGATAGCACCATTGATGACCTCTCCTATTGCTTTTCTGATGATAATGAATGCACTGATAGGGAAGTAACTGGATGATTTAAATTTGTTCTGCATCTTATGCACATGACTTACTTGGGGAAATGATGCACATTATCAGGTAGATGCCAGCACTGTAGCTGTACAGCGTACTGGAACAAATTGATTAACTGAGCTTTCGTACAAAATAGCAATTACATTTTGATATTTTTACATTGTGCAGAATTCACCCACGTCATGAATAAGTGACTCGAATCTGAAAATCATGTGCGACTTTGCAGTAAATTACACACACAAGATAACACAGTGCTTATTTTTTAAAAGTCAAATTAGCTACCTTTAAGCAAGATTTGCCCACTCTTTCCATTGTCACTGCTAGTCTTCAAATCCTCCCCATAATATAAATATGGTAAATGTGAAACCTAGAAAGTTTTATCATGTTGCAAAAAAATGCTGCCTTTGTTACCATTTCTACCTAATAAAAAAGTTACCATTCAGTGCTGCTGAAGCAGTGCACTTTTAATTAATGGATCCAGGTATGACAGTTAGTGCTGTATTCTGTGATGAGAAAGACTGTTTCCAAGGTCAAGGAGTTTAAAAAACTTTTTACATTTACAGCTAATCTGCATTCTTCCAGCGCTGATTGTGACTAGAACACTGCAAATTATACTAACAAGCCTACAACAACCTTGTTATATTTTTATTTGCTGCGGCAAAATTCTCATACTTGTAATTTAAGCTTTACAGTAATGCCGATTTTGAGATTCTCTGGGGATATTGATCTGCTGCCAAATAATTTGCACTGTCAGTCAGTTAGTGCCGGTCAGCAGGCCTGAATAATCTCACAACCTCTTTATATCAGCTATACCGTATCAAAGTACCATGCAAAACTGCTGACAAATTCCAGATCTCATCAGCAGCAGCTGTTATTCATTTTTTTAAAGTTAGCATTCCTACCGGGATTGTAAATTACTTTTAACCCTTTGAATGCTAATCATACTTTCAATTTTCAGGACAATTAGAGGGTAAACTTTTTCATATCTGGAATTATTTTCATTACATTTTGAATATTAGGCACCGAGGAGCAAAATGAATAAACACGGTAAGTGCTTCACTGACAACTCAAGGAGTTTGATTCCTGACCAGAATTCAGGTTCCATATTTATAAGTTGAAACTCTGTTCTATTTCACTTCCTCACTGTTGTCAGAATTTTTCTTCAACATCCAGTCCTGGATGAGCTGAAATATCCTCCCATTTAACAATGGGAAAACTCAATCCGTATCAAAAACTATACCCTTTACCACCGATTTCATCCTCCTCCCTGCCCTAGTTTAACCAGATTGTTTGTCATTTGACCCTGAACCAAGGTTCCAATCGCACAATAATTGACTTTTAGTGTAGTGTTGCTTGTCTCTACCCCATCTCCGCTTACATTTGGTTAAGGCAAACTATTCCAATGTATTCATTACTAACCTCCTATTTTCAACCCTTCATAAATTTTTGATAATCTAAAACTCTGTTCATTTCCTAGGTTCCACTAACTCCTCATCACCTCTGCGCTCTCTGACCTACATTATTTTCCTGTTCCCCAATGATTCCAAATAAAAATTCTCATCATTGCATTCAAATCTCTCATGACCTCACCACTGACTATCTCTAAACTCTCCCAGCCCTTACTGGCCCTAATTTCTCCATCTTTGACCTTGTTTATTCTTCAATTTCTTTGCCTCATATTGGTGGTAGTACTTTCAGTTGTCTCAACATAAGCTCTGGCATTCCCTGCCTGAACTTCCCTACCCCTCTATATCACTCAACTACTTTATGAATGAACACATTGCTCAATTGTTGGGCAATAAAGCAAACAACAGGAGGTGGAGACTCCATAACTTACTCCATCCTCAAAGATGGGTAAACCCAGAACATCAGTGCAAAAATTAAGGCTGAACTATTCACATCTACCTTTAGTCCAAGGTGTCAAGTGGATGAATCTCTGCTTCCTTTTGAGGTCCTAGCATCATAGATATCAGTCTAATCAATTTGATTCACTCCGCATGATATCAAGAAAGAACTGATGACACTGGATATTGCAAAGGCTAGGGGCCCTGACAACATTCTAACAATAGTACTGAAGACTGCTTTCACAGTCAGGCTCAGGACGAGGAGTCAGGATACAAGACTAGCTCAGCTTGAATGGGAATCAAACTCAAAGTTGTCAACCACCTAGCCAAGCAAGCTGGTATAAACCTACCAGCCTTTAAAAGACTGTTATCTAACAAACTTCATTCAAAATTTATAGACGCAGCCTGAGCACACAAAATATGGACTTCAGTAAGGCGTTTGACAAGGTTCTGTGTAGTACACTGGTTAACAGGGTTAGATTACATGAAATACAGGGAGAACTCGCCTTCTGGATACATAACTGACTCGAAGGTAGGAAACAAACGATGGTGGTGGAGGGTTGCTTTTCGGCCTGGAGGCCTGTGACCAGCGGTGTGCCACAAGCATCAGTGCTGGGTCTACTGCTTTTTGTCATTTATGTAAATGATTTGGATGTGAACATCAGAGGTATGGTTAGTAAGTTTGTAGATGACACCAAAATTGGTGGTGTAGTGAACAGCCAAGAAGGTTATCTCACAGTACAACAGGACTTTGATCAGATGGGCTGATGGGCTGAGAATTGGCAGGTGGAATTTAATTTAGATAAATGTGAGATGCTGCATTTTAGTAAGGCAAATCAGGGCAGGACTTATACATTTAATGGTAAGATCCTGGGGAGTGTTGTCAAATAAACACACCTTGGAGTGTAGGGTCGAAGTTCCTTGAAAGTGGAGCTGCAGGTACAGGATAGTGAAGGCAGCATTTCGTATGGTTGCATTTATTGTCAGTGCATTGAGTATAGGAGTTGGAAGGTCACATTGCGACTGTACAGGAGATTGGTTGCGCTACTTTTGGAATACTGTGTTCAATTCTGGTCTCCCTGTTACAGGAAAAATGTTGTGAAACGTGAAGGGTCAGAAAAGATTTACAAAAATATTGCCAGGGTTGGAGGGTTTGAGATGCAAGAAGAGGCTGGTGTTATTTTCCCTGGAGTGTCGGAGGCTGTGGAGCGACCTTACAGAAGTTTATAAAATCATAAGGGGCATGGATAGGGTGAACAGCCAAGATCTTTTCCCCAGGGTAGGGGAGTCCAAAACTAGAGGGCATAGAATTAAGGTGAGGGGGGAAAAGATTTAAAAGGGACCCAAGGGCAACATTTTTCACACAGAAGGTGGTGCATATATGGAACGAGCTGGCAGAGGAAGTGGAGGAGGCTGGTGCAATTACAACATTTAAAAGGCATGTAGATTGGTATATGAATAACAAGGGCTTAGAGGGATATGGGCCAAATGCTGGCATATGGGACTTGATTAATTTAGGATATCTGGTCAGCATGGACAAGTTGGACCAAAGAGTCTGTTTCCATGCTCTACATCTCTACCACTCTAAATAAGTCTGAGAGACATACATCGACCTGTTAATTCAATAATATCTTGAAATGTTACAG